ACAATACTCTGAATATTTCCATATCAATGTTTCAATGCGGACTCAAGTCGGTCCGCTCAAGGCACATCAAATAAAGGTGAGGCAGAGCAGACCCACTCCTGTACTGGATCATGTACTGTCATTACTGATTACTGTAAGTGTTTTTTGCACCATCCGGACTGCCTTACCCCGTCTATTGAATGTGTCTTGGGTACATGATGATGCTGATGCTGTTGCTGGCTCTTGCTCTGTTTCTTCTTGCGCGTGTCGCCGTTATTGCTAGATTCATTTGCTTTAACAGCTGTCTTGGTGTCGGCTCCGTCGTCTGGCCCCTGAGAACACAGAACCAAAGCCAAACAAAGTCAAAGAAAATGAAAATGCAAAGACGCAGGCAGCGTGTGAACTTTTCGAGCTCCGCAGCTCAAAAGAAGAAAGAAGCGGGAGAGCGTCACCAAGTGCAAGCAAGCAAGAACACAACGGAGTGGCGCGAGGGGTCGTTCTGTGGATACCCTTGCGGATCCGTCGTGCCCATGGAAATTCTCAATACAATATACATTAAAAAAATCGTTTATGTTATTAATTATCTCTAATTGTATAAAATCATTTAGTACTAAATATTTTTTTTACGGTTTAAATATTATAGACTTTATCTCGGCTAATCAAATTATCATACCCTCTCCAGCAAGGGTATGGACAAGAGCAGCATCAGCCAGAGAAACAATATGAGAACTCAGATTCAAGGCTACCCAGACATGGTGGTCAGAGCGAGACGGCGCGTGAGCCACAAAGGAGGAGACACGAAGGAATCCAAAACATGTGTACATCAAAAGGGGAAAAGACACAAGCAAAGCAAACAAACAGAAGACACATGCTGGGGTCTCGGTTCCAAGAATAAGCAGAGTAAAAGCACAGAGCGACTGGGGCTTGAAGGAGACGAATCTCTGTTGAAAGATTTCGCAGCTCTGATAGAATGCCCCCCGCCACAGACACGACACAGACCCTGCGCTGCGATCCCTGCCGATCATTATGATGATAATGGTATCTATTTTAATAACACAGCCCAACCTGTTCAGGCACAACCGAAAGAAACCCAAACACCCTTCCTGCCTAGCAGGGAAACTATTCAAAACAAAAAGTTCGTACAAAATTCCCACGAACTCACGAACCGTGCCCCGCCCTTCCCTCTCCAGCCATGCTTACAACCCTCTTTACTGGGCCCATAAAGATTCATTTACAAGACACTTTTCTTGGGACAATTTTCCGTTTCCATTTGCATGCGTTAAATTTTCGCATACTCATTGACGGGCGGGACGGGACGGGACGGGACAGAGACCGAGACCGAGACCCGACCGAATCTCAAACTAGGGAAAACTACCCCTGACGGTTAACAAAAGTAAATGACCTTTAATAATGATGTTCAGCAAATTATGTGGACAAGAAGAGGAAACAAAAGGTAGAAGATAGAAGGAACACTGAACAGGAACTGGAAATGGAAACGGTTGTCCTACCGAATCATCCAACTAAAAACCATCAATCTCTTACACAAACAAAAACCACACCCAGACATCAGGAGGAGGGGGCTGCAATGAAACCATTTTATGTGGCAAAACCCCCAAAGGTAAAATAACACTAAAAGAAAAGCCCAGCTCCAACTCCCCCAGAGAGGAGTGCAATTAAAGTCGCTGCTTGAGTTTATGACGTCATAAAGTTGCAATCGAAGATTCCTCGGCTGCCCGCCCCCCCTCCACCCCCCGTAGCAATGTAAATTCATATTTTAATACATCTGTATCTACATAAAACGTAAAAAAGAATACACATAAATTCATAATATTTCCGATAAAGGTGTACAGACCCATTCAAAGCCAGGCAATCCAATCCACATCCAAAACACCCTCCAGCCAGCTCTAGTGGAAATCAAATCAGCTAGGGTTGCCATTGTAGTATACAAACGCATATTCATATCAACATGTGTGTTCTGTGTGTGAGTGTCGTGTGTATGTGTATGTGTACGTTGTGGAGGAGGGTTGCCTTCGTCTGCCTGGGGTCAATGCACAAAAATGCGTAGAACGTGCCGTGCCCAGTCCGCAGCACGTTGTGGGGTTTTCGCACACTCGCACGCAGCCAGCGGCAGCACTGATGCTGGGGGAGATGTGGCTGTGGGTGTGGGCTGGGTCTGGCCCAAAAGTTTGTTGACCCCAAAATCAAGAGACAAAAAGCAATATGCGTAGCTGTACATGTGCAATGGCATTGGTATATTTCGGGGTAAGACGCACCCCTTAAGAGGGTGGATTAGCAACGGTCCCCGCTCCACCTCCACAACCCTACACTCCGCTGCGATACCTCTCTTCCGCTGGGGCATTAATAATACGGCTGACATGACTATTTATTTATTTGCAAGACACTTTCCCTAACGCTCCTGGGTCTGGGCCTGGGCCTGGGTCTGGGGGTGGCAGACTCAGAACCCGACCAGACAGACCAAAAAAAGGATCAAAGTCAGACGCACACGATATGCCACCAGTATGGTGGAAATTCAGCTTTCAGCAATGCAGTGAGGCAGACGTCGGACGACCCCAGCAACCACCCTTCCTAGCATGAAGCAGGAGCTGCGAATGCAAGGCGAAAGAGCGGCAGCTGTAAAAGTTCAACAATAAAAGTAGGAAGCAACAGAGCAAAAAAAGTGAAACGAAAACGAAATGAAACTACACACACACACACACACACACACACACACACACACAGGGTACAAGGACTGGCTCAGGACATTGCCGCCGCTGTCGCCATCGACAAGGGATGGGGCCCGTCCTCCGTGGCTTTCTCACAACAACCACCACCAACAGGAGCAATACGGACGAGGGCAACAGACGGCATTGGACACATTTTACGGTTGTTCCACAGCGTATTATGCAAATCTCTTCAAGCAAACAAAAAATGTTTTAATTTCAATGGAAAATCTCTTCGAAAGTTTCCATACCCTTGCAGAGGGTACAATACGTTTTCTGACAAAAGAAATGAAAAAATCCAAATAGAATTTATATTTATAACAATATATCCCTGTCCAGCTGATACATTCCTGCTAGCTTGATCGGATCGTACATATGCATGTCACATATCACTCTAACAGTTGTGCAGGGTATTAGAAGCCTCGGCCCAAAAGCAGTCCAGTCCCTTCCTGTTTTGACAACTCTCATTCCAATTGTGCAGCTCACAGAGCAGCCCGAAAGCCAGAAAAGTGTGCAGCGAGAGCAGAAGCAGCAAGGAAACAAGAGCGAAAAGGAAACAACAGAAGAATGCACACACATATGTATGTATACATCATCTGTATGTATAAAGTACGGCTGCGTCTGGGACGGGACGCGATCACGCACACAGGCAGACATACAGACAGAGAGAGGGTGGGAGGTGTGTCTGTCTGGGCAGCATTGTTCGTTTACTCATTTAATTTTTTGTTGTTTTTGGGAATTCTAAAAATGCTCTCAGCTCCATCCTGCTGCGCTGCCTCCTCCTCCGCCCGTATCGAATGCAGCCGCCAGATGACAGGTTTCTGCCTCTCATTCTCCGCCTGCCTATTCTCACTCTCATTCTCCGTCTCCGGCTCTGGTTTTGTCTGCTTTTTATGCTCTTTCGTGCTGCTGTTGCCGCTGCTACTGCACAGGATGTTGGCCTCGCACGCTGTGGTGTGGTGTCTGCCTGCGTGTCCGCATCTTCCTTGGCATTCGCCTTCTGCCATGGCCATTTATACATATGTACATACATACATATGTATGTACAAATGTATAGTTTTCACCAACCATTAAAATACTCGAATGTAGTTTGGTTTGGTTTGAGTTTGGCATCACTTTTATTACAATTGATGAATCATAAGTTACTTGGCGCTATATATGTCGCTTACATATGTATGTACATATATGAAAATATTTATATACATATATCAGTCAAGTCAAAATTCCCCCCTCTTGATCCAAACACCTATAAAACTATTCCGGAAATTGTTTATTGTCAGAGTAAACATACATACATACATATGTAAAAATTTAAAGGGTTTACATGTACATACATATGTATGTATTTGCAAGCAACATCAGAACCTTTGCATATTCCCAGAAATATTACAGTGCCAGTTTTTGCTTTTTTTGAGACGATCGTGCCGCTTAAATGCAATTCCTTTGTTGCAAATAGAGCGAGGAGAGTAGCGGTAAGCAAGATGGGAGCAGCTGCCTCGCTCTCACAGCATAATACATACACCAATGTACACACATACATACATATGTATGTAACGCCGGTAGGCATGGCATACATACATACATATATGTATGTGTTCACTGCAGCGATGTAAAAACAACAGAAAAAGGGCGCACAGCATAATGGGGGAAACAAAATGGAAGCGGAACACAGCCTAGACCAAATTGCAACAACTTTTTGCAGCCTGGCGAAAATTAGGGGGAACGCATGGAGTTGAATGAAACGAACGCCAGAGCGAGACGAGACCATTACAAGTGTGTAAGTGACGAGGGGACGCAGCAGGGGAACACATGAGATAACGGAACATGCTTTTGCATTAGTCACCACCACCGAAAGACAGGCTTCGTTGACAAACAACAGATGTGTGGGGTGAGGGGTGCTTTGTGAGGGAGAGTCAATGACGCTTGGAGCAAGGAGGAAGGGAGCTGCTCGGCTAGCAACCTAGCAACGAAACAAGACATTTAAACCATTTGTAATTATTTATTAGCCGAATGTATCAAATTGTACACGACGACACAATAAAACAGAACGCCAAAGCTGTCTCGGCGTTCGCTTCCGCCTTCGCTGGCTTCGACGCAGCAAGCAGCAGCGGCAGCTGCCTGTATGTCTGTTATGTTGTTTGTGTGTGTGTGTGTGTGTGTGTAATGCATGAATTTGCATAATTTGGATTGCGGCCAAAGGGAGGCGTGGCTGTCATGGCCAAAATCAAAGTGACACTTTGGAGTTCAATAGGTGTATTTATTAACTATATTTCACTGTATTTGTTGCTGTTTCACACAAACCTGTATTGCAGTTTATTCCCGTTTATTTATGGGCGCGAAAACGCAAAGGTATATGGACGCCTCCGGGCCGCCGTAGTGTGCGTCTGTCGGTTTTTTTTTTTTTTTGAACTGCGCCACTACACGCTCAGCGTATTGCGAAAACAATTATGTTTGCCGTTGCAGTTTTTTTTGCTGCAGCCTCGCCTTGCACATAGCGGTTTGGTTTGGTTTAGTTCTTTGCTTCTCTTTTGCCGCCTTTTCTGCTGCTTAAGACTTTTTCGCCTTCAAACAAACACATTAACAAGCACAAATAAACGAATTAACAGCTGCGTCGTATGTCCCAAAATCCGCGACGAGAACTTATTAGAGCTGGAGTTATAGTTAGTCGTCTTGCTTTAGGTAGGGCTTAGAACAATATCTATAATATAAATTAAAAGACGCTCAAATCGCCGGCAGTAGAGGTGTCAAACCATCGAGGGCACTATCGATAGTATCGATGTTTTGCTGCTAGCCGCTACTATCGATGGTTTTGCGACTATCATGATAGTATCGAGCTACAGTTGTTGCGCTTTTGATATGTTTGGATCGGTTGCTATAAAATACGAAGACACATTTGTAAACGAATCGACAGGTGGCATCTAATTTTTACAAGTTGGACAAGTTCCTAAAAGGTTTCAATGGTTTTTTAATAATTATTTCAGCCCGATATATCACGATAGTATCGATTGTTTTTTCAAAACATTCGACGTTGATATTCCTCGATTTTGATATTCCGTTTAATATTCTTAGCTAGTTGGCCCTTTCAGCCCTTAACATATAATATTATGCAATTTCTCAATAAATTTTGTTTAGGATTGGCTAGTGTTCAGAACTATTTTTCATTGGATTGTTTAGATAATAGGGTACAAACAAAAGCGGCCAAAGCATAAAACGTAAATGTTGACTAAATGTGACGTCAGTGTTGCTGGTCAACCAAGTTTCTTTTATGCGTATGTACCTTTGTATACCTTATTTCTTTTAATTGATGTTAAATGTTTTGTTCCAAGCTCCATTGAAACATTAATAATAATGATTTTATCATAGATTGACATGTTTTTAACCTCTTAATGAATATATTTGTGTTTTATATACACATTTATCCCGGTTCTGATACCTATTATTGGTACCCGTGAGCTACAAAATTTCGTTGATGTCTTTAAAAAAGAGACTGACTAGTTTTGGCATTAATTGGAGCCTGAAATTACAAACAATATCTCAAGTCCATAATATCCATTTTCCCAAGGCATGCAGATTGTTGCTCATTCCGTGCCAAAGTTGCACAACAATGCTGCTACTTCATTTCCCCATGTTGCTGAAATTTTTCCCATACAAATCAAATGTATCATACGGGAACCGTGTGGAACATCACAAATAAAGTGACCAAGTCTAAAAATACGATTATATACCAGGAAGGTGTTCAAATAAAATACCATAAAGTATTTAAAATACCGTGAAACGGTCACGTCAGCCTGTTTGCATTCGATATATATTAACAGCGGGCTATTGAGCGCAAAATTGAGTGCTGTTATGCGCGGCATTGTCTGTCGCATGTGCCGTGCACGTTGTTTTTTTTTTTTGTAAACAAAAACGATCCTGTACAAAATGGGAGCCCTAGCAGAGGTTGGTGCCAAAACAAACCATAGCAGAACATAATGCCCACTGATCCGAATATCCCAGCTTGCAGGCGACGAGAAGAACGGCGAGGGATCCCGCACCTTTGTGTTCCTTAACGAGGGCCACACACTGGGCAACGCTCTGAAGACGATCATCGCCAGGTACCCAGAGGTAGACTTCTGCGGCTACACCATCCCCCATCCCACCGAGCAGAAGCTGCACTTCCGCATACAGTCGCGCCGGGACCGAGCCGTCGACCTGCTCAAGCGCGGACTTGAGGACCTGGAAGCACTGTGCGACCACACTATAGACACCTTTGGGAGGGAAATGGATAAATTTAATGCTGCGAATGCCAGAGGAGTGCAAGAGAATACATGAGTGGTTCCTAGACGACGCTGCGCGCTTTCTTTGGGTCGTAATTGGGCTTCCGCAGGTGGTGGTAGTTGGGTAGGACCTTGCGGAGGAAGTCGATTTGCAGCGTCTGAGAGCCTTGCTTCTCGATCGCCTCGCGCTGCAGTGCTTGCTGCCCGTACACGATGGTATTTTCCGGCAGCAGCTGGGCCGTGTGCATCCGTATGCCGGCTCCGACCACGCAGCCGCTTGGCACGATGACGCCCGGGCCCACATAGCATTTGCTCTCGAACACGTTCTTGTCCCCGATGCGGTCCGCCTCCACCGTGCAGCCGACCTCGAAAACGTTGTGTGTTCCAACACTGAGAATGTTGTTGGCATCCCAGCTGGCCCCGGCCTGCAGCCGGTGAGCGATGGTGGTGTACTCCTCCAGAATGCAGTTCTCCCCAATGATAATGGGACCCGCCTCAGCTACGACAGTGGCACTGGGGTGGACAACGCAGCCAGCGGAGAAGGTGATGTCACCGCGCAGGTTGCTCTCCTCGCAGACCACAGCCTTGGGCATTACCTTAATGCTGGAATGGGTTGTGGGGTTTAAAATGGAATATCTCCAGTCTGTAATAGCTGCTTCTCACCTGTTTTCAGAAGACATTTTTTTGTTTTGTTTTGGTTTTCCTGCTCAAAAATACGAAAGCATCGAACTCTGTTATCGAGTGGTACATACGTGACTATCGATTATCCGGTGGAGCAATCTGATGAAATTTTGTGCACATTTTAATAAGATTTTCTCGAGAAAAACACTTCATTAATCATCATTGTCGAACAGAATAGGATGCCCGCGGACTTGGCTGATTTAACCATAAGTAAGTACATTTGTTGTTTGCCAAATAACGACACGTGCCAGTCCACGTTGTCAGTATCGGACTGCAATGTGCATCAATATTCATACTTATACGTCCGGTGTGTGCCTCTGTGTGTGTTCCTTCCTGTGCAGGCGCCCTCTTCACCTCTGAGAAGAGTGGCAGCGACGAGTCTGGAGATGGCAGCGAGGCCAAGCCTTATAAGAGCATCTTGCAGGCGATGCGCCATGCCGGCAAGGAGCCGTTCCCGACCATCTACGTGGACAGCAAGGACCCGAACGCCGCGGAGGCTTTTGAGCCTGCTGCCAAGTCCCAGCTGAAAAAGATCCAGAAGCTGTTCGTGCGTGAGGGACACAAGAACGCCGAAAAGCAGCAGCGTGAGGCTGGGGATGCCGAGAAGCGCCAGCAGAACCTTGAGGAGGCGCGCAAGGTTAAGATCTCGGAGGACCCCAGCTGGCCCGTGGCCCGCAAAATCCGCATCATGGAGGGAACCGACAACCGTGGCTCTCGAGTTAAGGTCTATGGCTGGGTGCATCGCCTGCGCCGCCAGGGCAAGGCTCTGATCTTCATCACGCTGAGGGATGGCACTGGGTTCCTGCAGTGCGTGCTCAACGACCAGCTCTGCCAGACGTACGACGCTCTCACCCTGAGCACCGAGAGCACTGTGGTGCTGTTTGGCACCCTGAAGCTGGTCCCGGAGGGCAAGTCCGCACCTGGGGGCCATGAGCTCAATGTTGACTACTGGGAGTTGATTGGACTAGCGCCACCGGGTGGCGCCGACGCTATACTGAACGAGGAGGCGCAGCCGGATGTGCAGCTGGACAACCGGCACATCATGATCCGTGGCGAGAACACCTCCAAGGTGCTTAAGATGCGGTCTGTGGTGATGCAGGCCTTCCGGGCGCACTATTTCGCACGTGGCTACAATGAGGTGACGCCTCCCACATTGGTGCAGACCCAGGTGGAGGGCGGCTCCACGCTGTTCAAGCTTCAATACTTCAGTGAGGAGGCCTATCTCACGCAGAGCTCGCAACTGTATCTGGAGACCTGTCTCCCGGCACTGGGTGATGTCTTCACCATTGCACAGAGCTATCGGGCGGAGCAGAGCCGCACGCGCCGTCATCTGGCCGAGTACACACACATCGAGGCAGAGTGTCCCTTCCTCACTTTTGACGACCTTTTGGATCGGCTGGAGGACCTCGTTTGCGACGTGGTCGATCGTGTGCTGAAGTCCCCATGGGGCCATCTTGTAAAGGAGCTGAACCCCGACTTTAAGCCGCCGACGAAGCCCTTCCGCCGCATGAACTATTCCGATGCCATCAAATGGCTGAAGGAGAACAACGTGACCAAGGATGATGGCACTTTCTACGAGTTTGGCGAGGACATTCCAGAGGCCCCCGAGCGCAAGATGACCGATGCCATCAACGAACCCATAATGCTGTGTCGCTTTCCGGCCGAGATCAAATCGTTCTACATGTCGCGCTGCCCGGAGGATAAAACTCTTACCGAAAGCGTAGACGTGCTGCTTCCCAATGTTGGCGAAATCGTCGGCGGGTCCATGAGGATCTTCGACAGCGAGGAGCTGCTCAAGGGCTATCAGCGCGAGGGCATCGACCCCAAGCCCTATTACTGGTACACCGATCAACGCATCTACGGAACGCTGCCTCATGGCGGCTATGGTCTGGGACTGGAGCGCTTCCTCTGCTGGCTGCTCAACCGCTACCACATTCGCGAGGTTTGCCTCTATCCACGTTTCCTCGACAGATGCAAGCCCTAAGCATTTGCTATCCATCTAGCGCCAGCATTTATAAAAATAGTCCTCGAACTCGACTATTTTCAGCTTCAGCTCTAATCATAGAAACCTATCTGTATCCAAAATATCCTCAATAAAGGCAGCGCCTATGCTTGATCAGAATGTCCGGTTGCCTGTTTACCGCTCGGTCTCTGGAGCTAGGCGACGACATTCCTTTAACGTCGTACAGCTCAGATCCGGACATCATGATGAAGAAAGGGGAAACATAGTGATAAGGCAATCGAAATCCATTGAAAGACCAGCCACCAGGAGATAGAAAAGCAGCAAGAATTGCAAAAAAAAAAAAGAAAAGCATACAATTAAATAGAAGAATACTTCCGATTCGTTTGGAACACCTTTCTATATTCATCGTCAAAAAGCACTGCCGTCTTGGAGAACTTTCCTGTTCGTCATCACCTCACCCCCTTGTGTTTAAACTTTAAAGTATCCACCGATCAGCAGTATGGATATACTTTCATTTTCGTTTCACTTATGTGTCCCGTGACATAGTTTCAGTTCCCCTTCTCCTGTACACTTAATTGCTTATTATCGGATCAGCTTGTGATATTATCAAATAACTGTTCGATGTCCTTGTCCATGTAGGTCTCGGAGTTGTTCATTGTCTGGGAGTCGTCAAGCTCCATGTCCTCTTCTTGCGTGTCCTCGTCCTCGCCATCGTCGTCCTCATCGGCCTGCGGCACCGCCTCAACCTCAGCCATTAGATGTTCCTTGCGGTAATGGCTGCGCAACAGATCGCTTATTGTGGCACAGACAATTTGTCTCACCTGAGCATCGAAGCTGGGTGGCAGCCATCCGGTGCGTTCGTTGCAAATGGCGCCAGTCAGGGGAGTCGGAATCTTCTCCAGCATATCCTGGATCTTTTGGATGCGGACGTCGCAGTAGCGAAGCATGCACTGTCTGGAGCGAGGCAATTTGTGCTCGTCGAAGTAGGGATAGTCAATGTTCTGGACCAGATCACACTTTGGCTCCTCTGCTCCAAACTCCAAACTAGACAAACTCGGAGACGCCAGTGCCAAAGCGCAGGCGAAAGTCAAAGGTCTGGTAGTGGCGGCTGTTGAAATCCTTGCGCGGATCGTATCCATAGCGCACGTACAGCGTTCGCCAGGGTCCAATTGGGCTTCCGCAGGTGGTGGTAGTTGGGTAGGACCTTGCGGAGGAAGTCGATTTGCAGCGTCTGAGAGCCCTGCTTCTCGATCGCCTCGCGCTGCAGTGCTTGCTGCCCGTACACGATGGTATTTTCCGGCAGCAGCTGGGCCGTGTGCATCCGTTATGGATGGATGGATGGAACGCTCAGGATACGAGATTCCTAAATCGACTAATGATTAATCATGAATCTGCAATCTGCCCCTAAGACTTAAATTTACAATATTTAATTATTACAACTCTACGCACGATTTGTTTTAAGCGAAATTTGTAAGAGAAGCTAAATTAGACTCTTAATCTCGCGTCGTTAAAACACATCGAATTTAATTGTGTATAGAACATATCAACTTAGGTTCTTGGCTTGGAAGTTATCTTTTTGGCCAATTACTCATCTCTACGAGAATTAGCTTTACTCATCTCTGTGAATACAGTAAAATCGATAGTGTCTCGCTCATCGTTTCTGGCTCTTTTACACCAGACCATGGTACAACTATAAAAGGTAGTCCCATCGCGAGAGCTGCTCTCTTTTGAGGACGGTATTTTAGCAGTATACAACAACAGTCAAAGAGTGCTACCTCTTTCTAGCGCATGTCTCTCGTGCGTGGTGAATAAGCTGGTGGTCCTCCACTCAGCTGACGACGTCACCTATTAGTAATTTCACCATGCAACGGACCAACCATTCGCTATCAAATCGTGGTGGTTTTTTAATATTTTCTCTCTTTTTCGAGGTGAAGAGAGCGCTTTTGTGGTGACTTTCCCCTCTTTTTCGTGGTGTGAGCCGCATGTTCCTAACGGGAACCATATGGAGCGTCGCAACAATGAATCTTCATCGTTATTATTAATGATATGATTTAATCTATTACACTACTCAACAAAATTGAACTTTTTCTTTAGGCTGATAGATTTCGGGACTTAAAATTTTTTGTAGCACTTTATTTTTTTATCATGTAATTTTTTTTTAAAGAATTTTTAAAATCTGGTATTTTTTTCATGTGTTTTTTCAGAGGTAGTGCTTCTATTTTTCACATAGCTTAAGTATCTTATACCTGGTTGAATAGAACTTTGCACTTAGAACTGGAAGATATTAAGCTTTCAATTTCAACTTTCATAATTTTTTGCGGTATTTTTTTTTTGAATTTCGACTTTAAAAGCTCGGGAAAAGTCGAAAGAAAAATTATTCTTGGCATGCATTTTTATGAAAAAAAAAAACAACAAAATTATGAAGTTTGAATTTGAAAGCCAGGCGTTAATCTGCAGATACAAAAAGTCTGGGTCCGATTTATATCTGCATTTGCCAGCTTTTCAAAACTGTAAATTCCTATGCAACCAGATATAAGATACTTAAGTTATGTGAAAAATACAAGCACTACCTCTGAAAACTAGTATCACATGAGTCTGGAAACCAAATTTGGTTTCTCTAGCTCTTATAGTCTCTGAGGTCCAGGCGCTCATCGAGACGGACAGACGGACACGGCTATTGATGCTGATCAAGAAACGTTTCCTTCTCTGCGTTGCACACATCCACTTTTTCCACAAATACAAGATATATCCCTTAACTCTTTTTTGAGTACGGGTATAAATACCATATTTAAAAAAATCCTTAAACAAAAAAATTAATTCATAATTCGTTAAAAATTTTTAAACCCCGAAATCTATAAGAAAAAGTCATTTTGGGCCACAGCCAAATTGTCGTGTTAACTAGTGTTATCAATGGATATTTTTTTGGTACTCAGCGAACTTGTGAAGCAAAATTTTTTGGGTACAAAAAGATAATATTTATTATTGTACATCAAATACATGTAAAACTTACGCAAGTAGTAGCTTAAAATAATAGTAAAAGTAGTTACAGTAAAATAGTAAATAATAAATTCCTAGTCAGGATCAGTGCCTGGGGTCTGTCAAGCTCACCATAGTGCCCAGCATCCATGTGAAGACGATTATAGCTGGAAACGAGTCCGACATAATTTCTGGACAGAATGCGTTCATCATCACGAATAAGTTCCGCATATTGTCGTTCAAAGATTATCCGAATCTCTCCAGCTTGTAGCTGTTGACATTCTCCACGTTAAAAGGTATCCTATCTAGGACCAATTTTCGACGCCTTATTGAACCTTATTATGTAAACATACCAATGAGAAAGAGTTTTGAAAACTAACCAGTCCTAAACAAAATTGATTGAGAAATTGGATAAAATTATTTTTTTAGGGCTGAGAGGGCCAACAAGCTAGTAATATTAAATGGAATATCAAAATCGAGGAATATCAACGTCTTGTCGTGTCCGTCAGTATATGTACGGTATATTTTGATGGCATTGCATGGTATATTTGGGTATATTTCTGTGGGTCAGGCGGTATATTTTATTGATAAATCTTGTGGGTCTATCTGTCCTTCGGAACCACTAACGCCAACAGTTGAAACCACAAAAAAAATATATATATATTTGATTAATAAATCCACTCCACAAACAGCCATCAAAGCAGGTACTGCAGCATCAGCCACATTCGAAATTAAATTGCAAAGTATCGCTTGCTATGCAATGGTAAGTGTTGCTGCAGCAATCATCTCGACAAGCGGACGCGGCTGCCACTGAAATGCGGCACATAATGAAATGTAAACAACATCCTCTTGTTGCCTGCAGCTACAAACTATCCATCAGACGCAGCTTGTACAATGCCACGGCACTCCAATCGGATCTCAGCCGCCCGAACCACGGCCACGCCATCGGCAATGTGGATCTGGAGTCGGCCCGTCAAAATGCCAGAATCGTGGTTATAGGCGCCGGTCTGGCTGGTCTATCAGCCGCTCAGCACCTGCTGTCGCATGGTTTTCGGAGGACTGTTGTCCTGGAGGCCACCGAACGCTACGGAGGACGCATCAACTCCCAGCGCTTTGGCGACACATTTTGCGAACTGGGTGCGAAGTGGGTGCCCATCGATGGCTCTCAAGACTCTACGTATGAACTGCTGCGCAATGTCGAGGGGCTGGGCAAGCGGATTAGGCAACCGGAGAGGCCCGAGTACGTCCAAATAGACCACGACCAGAATAAAGTTAATCCAGCCATGGTTGACCTGATCGATGCTCTATTCCGTCAGCTTTGTGGGGGCTTGAGGGTCTCGGACAAAGTCAAGACTGGCAGTGACCTTCACTCGCTGGACAACGTGATGGCCTACTTTAAGACAGAGAGCGACAAGGCCATCGGACTCGCTTTTAAGCCGGAAGAGCAAAATACGGCGAGAGAGATTTTCCAGTCACTATTCAAGGAATTCAGCAGCGTCCTGGGCTGTTGCTTGGAGTACGTCAACATAGAGCATATTACCAGCTGTCCCGTGCAAACGGATCCTTGTCCGATCTATGTGCCCACCGGCTTGGACAATATTGTGGACGAGCTGACTCAACATCTGGGCAAGGAGCAGCTGCAAACGGGCAAGCCCGTTGGCCAGATACAATGGACGCCGTCGGCCCTCGGAAATCACAACAGCGTGGGTTGCCTTGACGGAAGTTTGTACAATGCTGATCACATCATTTGCACTCTGCCCCTGGGTGTGCTCAAGAACTTCGCTGGCATCCTGTTTAGACCTACGCTGCCGAAGGAAAAAATGATAGCCATACGCAACCTGGGATTCGGCCCAGGCCCGCTCAAGATCTATCTCTCCTACAAGCTACCCATCAGCCTTTGGCTCAGAAGCAACCTGCGACCGCTCGGCAATCTCATCAATCGCGTGGCCGATCGCCAAGCGGAACGGAGCTGGACACAACAGGTGGTGGAAATAACACAGGTCCCCAGTAGCCAGCACGTGCTGGAGGTGCGCGTAGGTGGTGGCTACTACGAAGAGATTGAGAAACTGCCGGACGCCAGGCTCTTGGAGCACATAACAACGCTGCTGAGGAAATGTATTAGCAACCATTTGGTGCCTTATCCACAGGGAATGCTGCGCTCCAACTGGAGCACCTCCGCCTGT